TCCCTACTTATAATTAGAATTAAATATGGGGAGCTGAGAACAACAGCAATGGGAGGAAGAGATGGTTAGACTAACAGAGTTGAGTTAATTTCAGAAGCTTGAAGGAATAGTGAATAAATTAGGCTGTTAAAATTCATTTGTTGCAAGTTGACAGATGCTCAGCACAGGTAATTAATTCAGTGTGTTTTCATAATTTAGAATTAGAAAAAAATAAGAAACACCTTCTCCTAAAGCAATGGAGAAGATGTGTACCACTGTTGGTGCAGACAGGTTGACACGCTGAAGCTTTCTGTGAGTAATGGGGCACAAGGTTTTAGTGATGCTGCTGCACGTGCATCTAGGCAAGGGGATGTGGTGGTCTCTTGGCAATGGAGAAGAGGAAATGGAGAAGGAGAGACTGGAGTAACCCATGACATGGTGTGAAAGAAAAAAAATACTAATAAAGTCCTTGTGAAAATTATGGCTCCCCGGCTAGTGATACTCAATGCCCCATTTAATAACAGCTTTTGGTGAAAATGAATTTTTGTTCCTATTTGGAAATAGACTTCCCAGATATAGCACTTTCCCACAGAAAAAAAGCATTGTTCGTTCATCAAAGGGAAGAATACAGAAGGACATAAAAGCAGATTTCCAAGAGGTGATATTGGTCAATTGTGCTGAGCCCATGGCTGTGTCTGGGATAGGGGACTTTCATTTGCCAGGACTGGTTCTCTGGCTGGGAAAGGAGGGAGGCTGACTTCACTTCAAGCACTGCCTGCACATGATTCTTTTGTCATAATCCTACAGTGGGTGCTAGCTGATGCTTTGAGGCTGATTTGCATCTTTCTGATGGTATGTGATGAAAAAATGCTGTTGTATCAGTGATACAGACTTACCATTGGTGTTCATTGAAGATCCCTGTCTGCCATTTAGAATAGTCATAATCAGCAGTCATATATTTCAGCTAGAGCACAGATCACTTCTAATAAAACTTTCTTCTGTCTTCTCATTTTGTGATCAAAATGATCATTAACATTTTCATCACAGTTCTTTCTTCCACATCAGTCATGTCTACATTTGTCTCAGATTATCATCATCTATCTTTCTTTCAATACAGGGAATAAATTATGAACTAAATCCTACAGTCTATACTCAGTCAGCCAAAAGTTAGCAATGTTTTCACCAAAAAAATCAACGTTTGTTTTTATTTGCATTATTTATAAGGAAAATGGTATATTCACTTTTTTTTTTTCCCCTCAGGGTAATACTGTGTTTTACCTAGGCATTTTCTCCCTAAAAGATTCTGTACAATTTCTCAAAAGTTACTTTGTTGTCAAATTCTTGTTTCTACAGAACATGCTTGCTTTTGCAGAAACATTGATAGGAAAGCAAATTTAGCTTGCATAGTGGAAATTCGTAACATATGAGCCACCTAGCAAATGAAAGGACATTTCTATATTTTCTATCATATTTATTGTGTGTTTCACTGCATAGCTTTCCTCTTAAATAAGTATTTTTCATATCCAGGAAATACTGCTGTCAGTCACATACAGGACAGATATTATGAATCCACATACTTTAGGGACATATTCTTCCCAGATTTTTGGATATACCAGCCTTGATTCAACAATATATGTGCAAGAGTCCATATATAATTAGGATATATATAAAATATATTAGCATATATATACAATTAGAATATATATATATAATTTTCTTCCTAAATAATTTGCTGAACTGGGATTTTAGTAAAAAAAATATGAAAGGACTAACCTTTTATTACATGCATGGAAGACACCTATTAGATGTGTATGCTGTGTAAAGAAATAATCATAAAAATAATATCTATATTTCTCAACTACGATCTTACATTGTTAATATTGGCTGTATGGTATTGTTTTGTTTTTGGGTTTTTTTCACCTTGATGTAATTTTGACTTTTAGAATTGTGATACAGATGAATCGTGATAAGGATATTCTCAAAATTACTGTTGTGGTTTTGGTTCTGGAGTACAATGCATACTGCATTTTATAGCCTGAGAGCCTGCAACTGGCATTTTAAGCAACACAGTAGAGGGTAGATTGTCATTTATGCCAAGAAGCTCATTTATATAAGCTACAATGTCAAGTTTAATTAAGGGCTACAGTGACAAAAGAAAGCCAATTGCATTTGCTCACAATACTTTTCAGATGACAAAGGACTGACACCCATAAAAACAATATCCAGCGTAATTGTTAAGGTTCTGATACTTAAACCTAACTAAATAGATCTCAGGAAGCATATTCCAATAGGTTAACTCTCTATGAGATTTAAATTTAAAAATACAATAAATCGAACTTCATCTATTGTCTAAAATTCAGATTTACAGTCGTGATCTTTCTGCATGGAGGGGAAGAAAATATAACTGGCAATTAGGAGCATTTGTATTCACACATTTTCTTTATTCAGCTCTGTGAGATTTTATAATCAGGAACTTTGTAACTTGCTTACCACAATAACTTTATGATGATCCCTGGTCAAAGTAAATGTGCAGAGAAAACTCTGGTGTCATGATTTACTTTGTGTTCTTTGTCCCTGCTCAGCAAACTCAGTGTTTGGGAAAACAATCAAAATCTCTTCTGCTTAATCCCCATCAACATCTCTTTTTCTTTCTCTCTCTCTTTGTGGCCACCACATCATAAAGGGGGAGTTTATGCCAAGGATAAAGGTCAAGATGATAGAATATGACAACTCTTTGAATTGAAATGGGAAATGAGTGTCCCTAAGTATTCAGTGTGAGTTTCTCTTTGCTCCCTGCAGGGCATCTGCACCACAACCACCGCATTTTTACACTTCTTCTTCTTAGCTTCATTCTGTTGGGTTTTGACAGAAGCGTGGCAGTCATATATGGCTGTTACTGGGAAAATTAGGACACGGCTCATAAGGAAACGTTTCTTGTGCCTTGGATGGGGTAAGTCCATAAAATTCATTCCCTCAGAATCATTGGGATGAAACCTTTAATGCAGCAACAGTGTCAAGAATATCATAATTTTTTTTAGTAAACCCGAAAGATAGTAGACAGCGTGTTACTAAAAACAAAACTAGGTTAGGACCCTTTTCACTTCAACTCAAGTTCAACTCATGCTGGTGTATATTTTTTAGCTTTTTTTTATTATTTATAAATATGTTTTAACAAAAATTTAGAAGATTTTCAGCAAAGTGGCGTAATATCAAGAAATCAAACTAAAACAAGAAAAAACATTCACTGAATATTCATGAAGCTTCTTCCTAGTTCACTTTAAGACCTGTCAAATGTACCAGTACTTTAGTTACATCAAAGTGGTACACCGTGGGCGGAAAACAGTGTCCTCGTCCCTGCCAGTGCTTCAGAAAAACAAATCCTGCAATAGTACTGTGCTTCATTAAATGATTCATTCCATATAAAACTGGACATTTTGCATTAGCTTGCCCTGTCATTTTTGTCCAGGCATATTTTTTTAGCATCTAATGGTTATTACTGTTTTGGGTTTTTTTTCAGGTTTACCAGCATTAGTGGTTGCAATATCAATAGGCTTTACCAAGACAAAAGGATATGGAACAGCCCACTAGTAAGTCAATCTGAAATGATTAATTGTTTTTAATTAACAAGATTGTCATACCCATCAGGAATTATACAGAGTAGTCTAAAGGCCCTACAGGTATCCATTCACACTTGGAACTGTCCTCAGAGTCACTGAGCAGTCCACAAAAGAACAAAGACATATGCCAGTCTTGGACTGAGCTTATCAAAGCACCAGGGATCCTGGATTTCTTGTGAGGTTTTGCAGCAGCAAGCCCTTTAGAAACAATGAGGATTAGGTCCACTTAGACGCCTAACATTTAAATACATTCACCAAAGAAAATATTAAATGCTATGGCTAGCTTTTGCCAGCATCTAAACGTGTCTAAAACTGAATTGGCAAGAGTCTCTTTGGCAGCCAGGTTTCTACCCACCAAGCATGTACCTCATCTTCAGTGCCTCTGAATTGCTTGGAGCCAAAGCCCCACAGAAATCTCAAAATAGCTCTACCATCCATCCCCTCTGCTGGAGTGCCTGATCCAGCCTATTTCCTGAACTGGGCTGTACTAGAGGGGCAGAGAGGAAGAGATCTGTGTTTTTCATTTACACTTTATTAATACAGTTACTGTTAATTACCTACTGGTTCCAGTGCACATTTAGGACTCTGGAAAATTCACTCCTCAGCA